GATCATATTAAAGCCTAATCACACTTATTTACTCTCTTAGAAAGACGGTTCCTCAAGGGTTCCTTAGTAAAGACCTTAGTAAAGTAGAGCCATGAACAGTCAAAGAACCATCTGCATGATTAAATGGTTCTCCACATGGTGAAATGGTTCTTCAGATTGATGGAGAATGTGTTGTATGAGGTTCTGTATGGCACCAGAAAGGGTTCTGCTATTGTTATGATGTTAAGCTTTGGTGCTATATAGACCCATTTTCAAAAAGGTTCTGTATAGAACCATGTACAACACATTCTCCATCAATCTGAAGAACTATTTCAACATGTAGAGAACCATTTAAGCATGCAAAGGGTTCTTTGAGTGTTCATGGTTCTGTGTAGAATATTAATAATTATATTTACTAAAGAACTCTTGGCGAACCGTCTTTGTTAAGAGTGTAGAGGAAGGCAGTTGTTGTGATGTCAGCACTCAGACCTTTCAGGTGTTTAAACCACGTTTGAGCCAAAAGAGCTTCAATATGAGATTCTAATAACAGTTTGGAAGTGAAAATTGTTAAATTATTGTTTATTATTTTGACAAAACCTGCTGGTCATAACCAGGAAGACACTTTAATGAACATAAATCCGAACGTTGAAGATACATATACACAAGACGTCAGCCAAAATATCTGGACAGTGCTTCAAATTAGTGAACTGAGCATTAGTGAGGTCAGATACTGATGTTGGATGGTCAGTTCTGGATCACTAACTCATCCCAAAGGTACTGGATGGAGCTCCATCACTCCAGAGAACACAGTTCCACTGCTCCACAGCTTTGTGCCCCTCTAGCCCACGCTTGGCATTGGGCATGGAGACCTTAGGATCATGTGCACCTGCTCCTTTTTATTGGTCAGTACTTTTCCATGGAGATGAAACCTGTTTCAGCAATGGGTGACCTTAAAGTAGTCATAGTAATCTGGCTGGATGGTACCATGAACGCTTAACGCTCAAAGAACCATTTGCATGCTTAAATGGTTCTCTTTATGGTAAAATGGTTCTTCAGAATGATGGAGCTCCATCCAGTATCTTTGGGATGAGTTAGTGATCCAGAACTGACCATCCAACGTCAGTACCTGACCTCACTAATGCTCAATCAAATCCTCACAGCAATGTTCAACATCTAGTGCCTTTCCAGAAGAGTAGAGGCTGTTACTGCAGCACAGACTCACTATTAACACCTTCGTTTCAGAGGAAACGCTGGAGTCGACAGACTTTTGGACAGACAGTGCAGCTGTTTATGACCTTTGTAGGTGTTTCCTGTTAACTGTAAAGAAACAGTGAGAAATTTGTCATTCCAGCAGAAGGTGAGGTGGTCCTGAACGCTTGGTGGTCCTGATCTGGAGCTCTGTGTTGGTGGTGAGGGTCAGTATCAGAGAGTCAGCTCTGTGAGCAGTGATGAGTGTAAAGCTGCCACACACACTGTGTGCAGTGAGTGTCTCTGCTTGTAAAGGCTGAGAATCTGGAAGCTCAGCACTGATTTAGCTGTGCTAATGTTCTTCAGTCCGTGTTTATAGATAACAGTGAGTCATACAGAGTCAGAAACCACAGAATCAAGTCTTTCAAGTCTATTAGAGATACTGAACAACTCCACATGGTTTGAGGTGAGTGTGATGATTTAGGCCTGCAGTTAGCACCATGCTAATGCTAATATGTATAAGCGTTCATTACCTGTTAGATAGGTTAGCCTTGTAGCTCCAGTGCTAAAACTACAGAGGCAAAGCTCAGACACCAAACGTGTCTCAGCTGATTGACTATATGTTGGAAACAAATTGAGAGAATTGATTTTTGATCCAAACTGTCAATGATTTCAAGCGACTTTTCAAATTGTCTGCATAATTCAGTGTTTGTCCTGCTGAAAAGCCCATAGAAACCATTAAGTGTTTCTGTTGGTTCCTGATGTTTTTTTAATGTGTTTTGGCTTTTTAATGTGTTCCTATCACAGTGTAAAGGAGCCTAATGGTTTAACAGGTGACCAACAGCTGATTCTAAATGAATTTTATGGTTTCCTAATGGTTTTAAAGGCATTCTACAGGAAACTAGTGGTCATTTCTTTCCTATTAGAAAGCAAAACCATTAAGTTTTGATCCTGATAGTTTCTAAAGGTCCCTTTTCAGTGTGTGAGGTGTAATCAGAGTGATTCAGAGTGGTTTGGTGTGAAATGGTTCAGATGTCTTTACAGTGGTGGTGATAGGAACCAGGGGTCACTATGACTACGATAGAGGTGGGCAGTATGACGATATTTTATCTTTATTGCGATAAATTATGTCCTGATACTCTTCTCTGAGCATATTATGGATATTGTCTTAAAGAATTCTGACTACATGTTTCATTACAAAGTGAGCATAATTAGACCTGTTTAACTGGATGTAGTGCTGTGCAGTTTGTAAACACTGATTAAAAGTCACTGTAATTGTAGTTATATTATAGTATTTTTATACGCAGCATTACAGCTTCCAATTTGTCTGTTCCAACTTATCAAATCTCAGAAAAACGAAATATTGTGATACATGTCATGATGTATTTTGGCCATTTCGCCCACTTTTAGCCTTCAAAACAAATATAGACATTTTATTTACTGTCCAGAACCACCAGTGAACCTACACGAGTCTTCTGAGTTTATATGGAATGTTGATGATGGGAAATAGTGGAAAATGATAAAATAATAATAATAATAATAAGTTTTCTTTGGGGACTATTTTGAATGGTGTACTTAAAACTGCTGTGAAACGATGCACATTTGTTTGCACTCTTTGGCTGCTGTTGCTGCTGTATGTAGCGGAAGGCAAGGAGCCAGCAGATGGCGCTGCAGTTTCACATTTTAAAAGTTGTCTTTGTGTTTAATACTGCAGTCGTGTGCAGTATTATTTTCTTTAGGCATTTTGCATTAGTCTTTGGCGTATTTCACATTTCAAAATCGGTAGAAGCTGGACGTTATGTTTATGAACCTAGGCGTGATTCCGTGACGTGAGGTAGCGCACGGTACAAGTGTAGTACACCACCTTACGACACCTACATAAGCCTTCACCACCGCACACAAATCCAGGCTTTAGAGAGAGAAGTGCGTAGTGTACAGTGGTGTGCAATAGTGTGGTCTCATTCAATGTTATTGTTGATTTTAAAAGTGATTTTTAAGAGTGTAAATATGTTACACATTTCAGTGTTTCCTGTTCCGTTTTACTTAGAGAATCTACAAAACATGAAACCTGCACAGTGGTGTGTAATAACCTTCTGTGAGGGAGCTTTATGAGGCGTTAAGCTCTTCAGATTTCTGGCTCCCATCATCACCACTATGAGTAATTCTGACCTCTTTGGCCAAAATCTAAACTATCATAAAACAGTGTCTCAGTCATCAGGCAGTGAATTCATAACCATTTCATGTAGGAACTTTCTGTGAGGGAGCTTTTAGAGGTGGACGTCTGGTTCCTATCACCACCACTGTGACCACTGTGAAGCACTCTGAATGACTCCGTTTACATCTTAACCACTTAATTATGCAGAAAATTTGAGAAATGGGTGGAATTCCACTGTTCCAGACGGTTCAGTTCATTCTGAGAGTCTGACTCAGAGTCATTCGGTTCTCCTGCACTGACGGGTCGGCTGGTTTAGCGTTTCCTGCAGGGTGTGCAGTGCAGGATCAGACAGAGACGACTCGTGTGCTGACTCATCACCTCCATCTGGCTTCCCTCAGGCTGTGTGTGTGTGTGTGTGTGTGTGTGTGAGAGCGTGTGTGTGAGAGAGAGAGTGTGTGTGTGAGTCATGCCCCTGATAAACATTCCCAGCATGCTCGGAGTGTGCTCATGGAAGCCGTTAGATCCTGTCTGCCCTTATAAGGACCTGTTAGCGGGTCGCTAGGCTCAGGAGCGCTGCTCGATTAGCCGCAGCTAAAGCAGCGCAGTTTAATATCATATTCAAGTGCTACTTGACCTTTGACCCCATTCAGTTTGACCGGCCTAAACAGCGTCTGGCCCAAACATACCCATCACTCACTCGCAGGGGTCAAAAGGTCAGGTCGTGTCCGGTCTTGCCTGTTGGCGTCTGGCCAAGTCTGAGCTTATCTCTCTCTCTCTCTCTTTCTCTCTCTCTCTTTTTTCCTGCGCTCCCTCTCTCCACTCTTCCTGTGCGCCTTTCAGACCAGCTGTTTTCACTCTGCCTTTGGGCCGTATTGCGCAATATTCCTCCAGAATATTCCTCCAGAACTGTTTTCTACACTAAAAATGTGCCAGAGTTCAGTTTTGCATGCAAAACAAACCACAAGCACAGTGACCCTTATCCATCAGAGCTGCGCGCGGTCAAATCTGATCATAAGATGAACGATCAGTCTCACGTCTGGTCAGGGTTAAGGGCTACACGACTTCAGATTTTTAAAGTTGACAGTTATGTGATGAAGTCGAGTTGACGTCGTCTAATCGCTGATGACATCATGAATTAAACCACAGGAGAAGGGAAGACCAACCTCCTCAGGTCAGTAGAGCGTGATGCGCCCTTTCCAACGAGCCCTGGATCGCATTGCTGGCCTTCAGGGAACCGGAGATACGGACCCCCAGAATCTCACAAATTTGTATCCGACTTAGGCGCACCCTAGCCGGCCTTGCTGAGACGCTCACCCGTGGTGTAGATCCAGAAAGCCAGAGAGATTTAGAGCTCCTCTACAACCACTCAGGACTTTTACTGTAGTCTGATCTTTGAAGCTCTGTAGATCAGCAGAGAAATGTTAGAACGAAGACAGACTGGGCAGGTCAGCAGAGCGTGACGCGCCCTTTCCAACGAGCCTTCAGAGAACCAGAGATACGGACCCTCCACCTCAAACTCGTGAGCCGCTGTCAAATGCTGTCGTTTTATTGGCTCCCTGCCAAATAACCTGAGGCAATTAGCGTGTGCTTCATGAAAATGATATGCTCTTGATTTCACGCGCAAAGCTGATTCATCATTTGCGCTCAAAGTTTCCAAGTCGTACGAAAGTTTTATGAAAAAACCTGCATTTTTTTTTTACACAAGTTCAGTGAATAAGGGCCAGTGTGGACATTATTAATTATCACTTTATTTATCATTATTGGAATTTTGCAGATAAAGGTCATTGTAATTGCCGCAAAACTGAATCTCTGTACTGAACATGTATATAATTTTTCCTGTTAATGATATGATTTTTTTTTTGTTGTTTTAATTTTGACATATAATGCATGAGATCAATAAGATATCAATATGATTTACTTTGTTTACTCAGCATTAGCTTTAGCCACCCCTGTGTACAGTTACGGCATTTCTCACGAGTGCTGCACAGTTATGTAGAGTTGTGACTGTTTTTGGTTCAGAAGGCCAGAAAAAAGATAGAAATTGAAAATAGGGGCCCTTTATTGTGTAATTAAGCTGTTATAAACCTTGTTGTTGAGCAAGTTCCAAAATCAGATAGCACCAGAGAATCCTTTTTGCCTCACTGACCATATCGCCATGGCATCTGCGTGGTTGCCGTGGCGACGGATGCGGTTGCCGGGATTCACTGTGTGTCCTCACTCCCTGCAGGCGGAGACGGCAGCCAATCGGATCTGCAAGGTGCTGGCCGTCAATCAGGAGAACGAGCAGTTGATGGAGGACTATGAGAAACTGGCCAGTGATGTGAGCATTCCTCCTCTCCTCTCCTCTCATCCCCCCATCCCTCTGTTTCATCCCTCACTCCCCCCCTTCCCCCTTCACCATGCTCACAACACCTCCGATATCAAATACTGAAATGTGTTAATACAGAATTAGAACCCCAGCGAGAGCAGAGAGGATAGAAAAGACCCAACGCATTTAAAATGACTAACTTTGTTCTTTTATTCTCTCTCTTCCTCTCTTCCTGTCATTAATCCATCCATCTATCCATCTTTCTCCATCCATCCATCCATCCTCACAACTGTGCGTCCATCAATCCATGCAATTATTATTACCCATCTGTCTGTCCCCTTTGTTCATCCATCCATCCATCCATCCATCCATCCATCCATCCGTTTATCCATTTATCCATCCATCCTTTCTTCAATCAACCTGTTTATCCATTCATCCATCTATTCATCTGTTTATCCCTTTATCCATCCATTTATCCATCTGTTTATCCATCCATCCTCCTGTTTATCCATTTATCCATCCATTTATCCCTTTATCCATCCATTTATCTATCCATTTATCCATCTATCCATCCATTCATCTGTTTATCCATTTATCCGTCTATCCATCGATGTATCCATTTATCCATACATCTGTTTATCCATTTATCCATCCGTTCATCCATCTGTCAATCCATCTACTGTGCAACTGTGTATTCATCAATCGATTTATTCATTCATCCATCCATTTATCCACCTATTCTTCTACCCATACATTCATTTATCCATCCATCCAACCGTTTTTTCGTTGCATTCCATCCATCCATCCTTTCTTTTATCTATTCATTCTGAGCTCCATTTCTCCTTCCTTTTCTTCCTCAATGTGTGGCCCTATACTGTCCTTCTCTCTCTCTCTCTCTCTCTCTCTCTCTCTGTCCGTAGCTGTTGGAGTGGATCAGAAGAACCATCCCGTGGTTGGAGAACCGTGTTCCTGAGAGCACCATGCAGGCCATGCAGCAGAAGCTGGAGGACTTCCGCGATTACCGCCGTCAGCACAAACCTCCCAAAGTCCAGGAGAAATGTCAGCTGGAGATCAACTTCAACACGCTGCAGACCAAACTGCGCCTCAGCAACCGGCCGGCGTTCATGCCTTCAGAGGGGAAGATGGTGTCGGTGAGAGCACAGTTTCAGTCAGTCCCCCATATACGGAACCCTAAAGTTCCAAAAGCAGTGCAGAAGAACCTTCAGATCACATTAAGATAACAATTATAACAATATTTAATATGGGTAAAATGTAGGTATGTATTTCTTAGGCTATTTTCAAACACGTAGTGTATTTCTTGTATTGATTCTGAATCAAATTAAGCAAATTGAATTGAATCATAGTGAAATTTGCAATTTCATGATTCACATAAAGAATTGGAATCAAGTAGTGGTGAAAATTGTGATTTTATGATTCATTAAATAGTTTACTACAGAATTGTTATCAAATCATGACGTTTGAGAGTTCTAGATGATTTCCTAAAGAATCAGAATTGACTCATGATGAACGCTGGTATTTCCTGAGTCAAATCAGTAATAAAAATCAGGAATAAAATCTTGGCTACATTTGTTATTTCATGACTCACTGAATAATTTCCTAAAGAATCAAAGTTGAGTCATGATGAAATCTGTGATCTGATTCACAGAATCGTTTCTCAAAGAAGCGGAATTGAATCAAATCATTGTGAGAGATTTACAGCCATCGTAGTCAGCAGGATTTCTCAGTTAGCGGGATAATTTGGGCCAAAAGCGAGCATTATCCATCCTCATCATTTTTTAGGTAGCCCTTAGAAATCACAAACACCCTTTGCTCTGTGCTTCATTTTTATTTACCCTCGGTGATTATATTAGAGCGAATGATTTGGGTTTATGTTTTATTCAGATTTAAACTCCTTTTATTAAAGAAAAGTATCCTAGGAAAAGATCTACATTATCAGAAAGTACTTTAGAAATGAACATGGTACAGAAGAATAGCTACTTTATTTATATCATTATTTCATTTTTTTCCATTATTGTTTTTCTTGTTTAATTGTATTTTAATGTGTTTTTTTCCTTCACTATCTATTTTATACTGTTTTTATTTTGTTTTTTATTTATGTAGAGCGCTTTGAATTGTGTATGAAATGTGCTACATAAACAAACTAGTCGTGCTGTGTAGGCCAGTGCTAACAGTATATATGTTTGTGTGTGTGTGCAGGACATCTCTAACGCGTGGGGGGCGCTAGAGGGAGCAGAGAAGGGCTACGAGGAATGGCTGCTGAACGAAATCCGCAGACTAGAGAGACTCGATCACCTGGCCGAGAAATTCCGTCAGAAAGCAGCGATTCATGAGGCCTGGACTGAGGGTAAGGCTTCACACTCAGGGGTCAGAGCTGGACCGTTGTAGGTCTGTGGCTGATGTGGTGTTTTTGTCGCCCCCTGCAGGTAAGGAGACGATGCTGACGCAGAAGGATTATGAGACGGCGTCTCTGTCAGAGATTAAAGCTCTGCTGAAGAAACACGAGGCCTTCGAGAGTGACCTCGCCGCCCACCAGGACCGAGTGGAGCAGATCGCAGCCATCGCTCAGGAGCTCAAGTGTGTTTACATACCAGAACTTCACACCAGCTTTAATTAAACACTGAAAGCTCAGCATAAATAAGCTCAGACTTTTACAGTTTAAATACTTTCAAACTGTACAGTCTAAATAAACCTCATGTGTTTACAGACTGTACATTACACCAGCTCATATTCAGGACTCTCAAAATGCCGATCCTCAACTGTCCAACTCATTTACGTTTACATTTATGGCGTTTGGCAGACGCTCTTATCCAGAGTGACTTACAGTTTGATTAACTTTATATCTTACATTCTCTCAAACGTCGCATTCTTTAAGAACTGCTCTGAAAATTAATTAGTAAATGTGCTTAAACTTTATTCCTCAAATACTGTACATCTTACAGACTCTACACAATGTAGATACAGTAACCAGGTCCTTCATATGCTAAAATGAGTATTTACCCCACCACCCCCTCAATCCCCACCCCTTTCTGTAGTGAGCTGGAATATTATGACTCTCCGAGCGTGAACGCGCGCTGCCAGAAGATCTGTGATCAGTGGGACGCTCTCGGAGCTCTGACTCAGAAACGCAGTGAGGCCTTACAGGTAACACACACACCTGAACGACACACCTGATAAGCAGTGCGCACTAACAGAACACACACACACCTCACACCACGCTGTGACAACACATCTGTATCTCCTTGAAAAGCCAGACAGTGATGTTACTGTAACTCTCAGACCGCAGTGTGTGAAGTGTGTACTGTGTAGTTAGTGTGTATCGCGTGTAATGATTGTGTGTATTGTGTGTGATTAGTGTCTATTGCGTGTGATTAGTGTGTGTTGTGTGTGTGATTGGTGTGTATTGTGTGTAATTGTGTGTGATTAGTGTCTATTGCGTGTGATTAGTGTGTGTTGTGTGTGTGATTGGTGTGTATTGTGTGTAATTGTGTGTGATTAGTGTGTATTGTGTGTGATTAGTGTGTGTTGTGTGTGTGATTGGTGTGTATTGTGTGTAATTGTGTGTGATTAGTGTGTATTGTGTGTGATTAGTGTGTTGTGTGTGTGATTAGTGTGTATTGTGTGTGATTAGTGTGTATTGTGTGTGATTAGTGTGTGTTGTGTGTGTGATTGGTGTGTATTGTGTGTGATTAGTGTGTGTTGTGTGTGTGATTGGTGTGTATTGTGTGTAATGATTGAGTGTGTGAGATTAGTGTGTATTGTGTGTGATTAGTGTGTGATTAGTATGTGATTAGTGTGTATTGTGTGTAATGATTGAGTGATGGTGTGCGATTAGTGTGTATTGTGTGTAATGATTGTGTGATGGTGTGTGATTAATGTGTATTGCGTGTGATTAGTGTGTATTGTGTGTGATTAGTGTGTGATTGGTGTGTGATTAGTATGTGATTAGTGTGTATTGCGTGTGATTAGTGTGTATTGTGTGTGATTAGTGTGTATTGTGTGTGATTAGTGTGTATTGTGTGTGATTAGTGTGTGATTGGTGTGTGATTAGTATGTGATTAGTGTGTATTGCGTGTAATGATTGAGTGATGGTGTGTGATTGGTGTGTATTGCGTGTGATTAGTGTGTGTTGTGTGTGATTAGTATGTGATTAGTGTGTATTGTGTGTGATTAGTGTGTGATTGGTGTGTGATTAGTGTGTATTGCGTGTAATGATTGAGTGATGGTGTGTGATTAGTGTGTTATTGGTGTGTATTGTGTGTGATTAGTGTGTATTGTGTGTGATTAGTGTGTATTGCGTGTGATTAGTGTGTATTGTGTGTGATTAGTGTGTGTTGTGAGTGTGATTGGTGTGTGATTAGTATGTGATTAGTGTGTATTGTGTGTGATTAGTGTGTGATTGGTGTGTGATTAGTGTGTGATTAGTGTGTATTGTGTGTGATTAGTGTGTGATTGGTGTGTGATTAGTATGTGATTAGTGTGTATTGTGTGTGATTAGTGTGTGATTGGTGTGTGATTAGTGTGTATTGCGTGTAATGATTGAGTGATGGTGTGTGATTAGTGTGTTATTGGTGTGTATTGTGTGTGATTAGTGTGTATTGCGTGTGATTAGTGTGTGTTGTGTGTGATTAGTGTGTGTTGTGTGTGTGATTGGTGTGTATTGTGTGTAATGATTGAGTGTGTGAGATTAGCGTGTCGTGTGTGATTAGTGTTTATTGACTGTGTGTGATGTTTCAGAGAACGGAGAAGCTGCTGGAGACCATTGATCAGCTGTACCTGGAGTTTGCCAAAAGGGCGGCGCCCTTCAACAACTGGATGGAGGGAGCAATGGAGGACCTGCAGGACACCTTCATCGTCCACACAATCGAGGAGATACAGGTACAGTCCATCCGTTTCCTCCATTCATCCAACAATTCATCCATCCATTTATACATAAATCTATCTGCTCATCTGTCCATCCAACCCTGCATCATTTCATCCATTCGTCCATTCTTTTGTCCATCCAAATGTGCTTCCATACACTCAGCCACTCATAAATCCATCCATCCAGCTGTGGAAAGAGATCAGAGTTAAGCTAGTTAACAGAGTATGGTGTTTGTTGTGGTATAAATACAGATATGATTAATGTGTGTGTGTCAGGGTTTGAGTACGGCTCACGAGCAGTTCAAAGCTACGCTCCCCGAAGCGGATAAGGAGCGACAGGCCATTCTGGGGATCCACAACGAGATCGCTAAAATCGTTCAGACGTACCACGTTAACATGGCCGGGACCAACCCATACACCACCATCAACCCAGCGGAGATCAACGCCAAGTGGGAAAAGGTTAGTGTTGCCCCCTACTGGAGACATACAACCATTCAGTTCTAGATAAATTTGAAAAGTATGGGATTTTTGTTGGTGTCAACTTAAATACCACATATACAGTACACAGTATTACTCTATAAATTGAGGGTCAGTGACAAATAAGGTGTTTAAAAAATTACAGTTTTTTTTAAAAATCTTATTAATAAAGGATATGATGTTAAATATAGTGAGTGTTACCAAAGCTTCTGATTGCCTGTTTCAGTTATTAAACTGTGCTGCTCTGGTTGCTCCATCTGACCGATTGGTTGCGCCACCTGACTTTTCAGACTAATTTCAGATTAAACAGGATCTACTTAGACACCCGTAGAAACCTTTGACCTTCAACTTGAGTTTATACGCATGTTTTCAAATAAATAAATATTATTGTAATAATTCCACATTTTCATGGTTCTCCTGAGGTCAGAACACCTGACATGGTAAACAGAACCGTTCTAACCGCGACTCAAACGTCACACTTTTACTAAATCTGTGACCTTGGAATTGCACCAAGAAGGTCACTTGGGGTCTTCTTTATGAAGCAGCACCCTGGCCCCGCTTTTGTAAAGCATCTCAAAATAAAAGCCCCTTGTTTTTGGTTGTGCCGCCTGACATTTGAGGAAGTAAAAACTTGCGGACAAAAGTTTTTCAGTTGAGCACTTTTAAAAGTGTCTAATTTTTTTTTTATTTAAAGTTTTCAAACATAAAAACATGCCAAACTATATATTTAGAATTTGTATGTACCTTTTTTGATAGTTTACTTGATCACCGTATTTAGTTGGCCTGACATTTTTAGACTTTTGGAGGCAAAAAGAAACTAAAAATGAATTTTATATGGATGCACCAAAAATTGTTTCACATAAAAGAGGTATTGTTGGATAATTTGATATGTAATGTATTTATTGAATTATTTTTGGGAAAATAATAGACTTGGACATAAAAAGTGCACATCATGTCAATGAAACATATACAGTTGCATTATAAAGAGGATATGCACTGAATGTAATGTAGAGGGATATGATAAATATCAGTAATATGCGCATATTTAAATTCAAAGGTGTGAATGTTGCATACATTATAGAAGGTATTTCTGTGATGTGTGTAATTGTGACTCTCTCTGTGTGTGCAGGTGAGGGAGTTGGTGCCTCAGAGGGATCAGGCTCTAATAGAGGAACACGCACGGCAGCAGAATAACGAACGACTGCGCAGACAGTTCGCTACCCAGGCTAACATCATCGGACCCTGGATCCAGACCAAGATGGAGGTCAGAAACCTGCAGGAGAACATACAGTTTTATTCAGTGATGCACTGAAATGTCCAATCTGGGCCAAAGCAGAAACCAAAATTCAGGACACGCTGGGCTGAAAATTAAAAATAAAGTGGTTTTTGATTTTTTTTTATGCTTTAAAAAAAAATCTCTAATTAATTAGTAGTGGGGAAGTTCTTGGGCATCTTGGTCCACATGAACAGAGATCATAAACCTCAGGTCCTATGTTTCTTGTAGAAACTGTGAAATAGTTCCACACGGCCAATATTCTCACTGTTGATCTGCTGGTCGAACTGTTCGAACGCGTCTGTTCTGACCAAAAGAGACCATTTTAATCACTGTTTCTTATTTTCATCATCATTTAAAATGATTTGTAGCTGTAAATGTATTTAAATTTTCAGCCTTTTTTTCTCTTTTAAAACATTTCAGCTGAAAACTGTCAAAAATGGCACTTTTGGTTTTTGGTTGAGGAATTTCAGTGCATCCCTGCTTTCATTCGTACAGCACCCTTCCAGTAGCTTTACAGTAGATTCAACAAATATGAATATATAGAAACGTCTCTTTCTGTGTGCAGGAGATCGGTCGCATCTCCATCGAAATGCACGGCACTCTGGAGGACCAGCTGACCCACCTGCGGCAGTACGAGAAGAGCATCGTTAACTACAAACCAAAAATAGACCAGCTGGAGGGAGACCACCAGCAGATCCAGGAGGCGCTAATATTCGACAACAAACACACCAACTACACCATGGAGGTACCTGACGTCCTCTTCACAGGACCCAAGTTTGAGGACCCAATTTTCTGGTCCTGTTACAGTGTTGAGCTATCTAGACCATCATTAGGTACACTTTAGCTACTGATGCTAATGATAGCCTGTGGATCATATGAACATTATAGAGCTTTTTAAATGAAACAGTAGAAGCCATATCGCCCCCTACACTTCCTGTAGTGTATTACAGTCTGTCAGAGTGACTCTGTGGATCATATGAATGTTATAGAGCTTTTTGTTGTTGTTAATTTTTTATTTTTTGTATTTACATTTGGGGCTGAGCAATATCACATCATTTATTGTTACTGTGATAAATTACATCACAGTATGTCACAGCTGTATGTTTGATTACAAAAAGAGAGCCTAATTAGTCCTGTTTGTATTCATACTTTTTGATGGTGATTTCAAAATGTGGCACTACTTGTCTGTTCTAGCTCACTAGATGTCAGCAAAAATAAGTACTGTGACTTATCATGTATTGTAGAAACTTCTTGTAGTATTGTGATATTATATTTTGGCCATATCGCCCAGCCCTGTAAACAGTGTTGTAGCCCCTGCACACGTACACCACGTACACTATGTAACACGTGTCATTGTTACGCCGTAACCCTTTCCCGCCATGTGCTGTTTCAGCATATCCGTGTCGGCTGGGAGCAGCTCCTGACCACCATCGCCCGGACCATCAACGAGATCGAGAACCAGATCCTGACCCGAGACGCCAAGGGCATCAGCCAAGAGCAGCTCAACGAGTTCAGAGCTTCATTCAACCACTTCGACCGGGTCAGTAACACACACACACACACACACACACACACTGAACACACACACACACACACACACACTGAACACACAGCTGCAGCGTCGGTGAGAGTGACAGTTAGATCAGATGCAGATACGGCACAAGTTAACGTTGTGTTTTGTGATCTCAGGCCGCGACGCTCAGAGCAGCTCGGTAAGAAACACAGTCTGGAAATAAAAACACTAACAGAACCTCATTACACTGAATTACAGCTGCGTCTGCATGTGTCAGTCAGATACTCTCAGAGTCGCTGTTGTCATTTTTGTATACATTCAATTTACGCTGCCTTATTATTATTAAATATTAATTACAGATCTTGATATTTCAGATATACAGAAATATACAGATATTTCAATGTTTTTTTTTATTTTCAGAGTGAAAAAAAACTACTCATCCTCTACAGTAAAACAGTTCTGCACATTTTAATACACAATTATTGTTTATTTGCTGTATTTAACTTATTGGTGGGAAAAAAACACATAAAACATGTCTTGGAAAAGTTATGGCATATTTTGTAGTTTGCTTTTTTCATCATTAAATAAACAGAAATTGGTCCTAAAATTAGAGAAAAGGGCCGTATTTGAGTGTATTCACTGTAGAGAATGTGTTCACTAATTTTCACTTCAAATACAAAATGAAATACATCTACAGTTGCATTTGTATCGACCTCATTTAAGTCAGCACTTCTGACTTTGTTTTTCCGAAAAAAAAATGTTTTTTCTTTTCCACTGTACGCACAAAAATAACTTCCAATCAAAATACGATATTTCCTCTTTAACTTCCAGTGGTACAAATTAAAAGTTCAGAATCTGCATAAAGGGATGTGGGAAGATTCCAGGATAGAAGCGTTTTTTAAAGCACGTTGTTTTATGGTGGATTTTGTACTTTTAGTTTATGTTTAATTTATATATTTTTAAAATCTGCTGTGTGCTGTTCAGGTTTATGCTGCTTTTCATTACAGTGAGCCGGTTTACGTACCTAATGTTTTTTTTAAACTTAAAAATTCATCTGAAGTAATAATTTCCCTGCATTTTGTATGTATTAGGTTATCTTTAGACTGCTTTACTTCTACTTTGCATCATAATCGATTATAGCGCCACATCTGATTGGTTGCCGTTCACCTCATTTGCATAAAGTTTGGCCGGTCAGTTATATGCATATTGCTACACTGTAGCACGTTATGATGCGTTCTGTCTGATGGGAGAAATAAAGTTACTATTATTCATTTTTAATTGGCGTATAATTTTGCATGCTGCATAAAATTAACACCTTCCTGCATCCCTGATCTGCACTTTCAGACGAATTTCTTTGCTTGTTTCGACGAGCCACGAAGAGAAATAATTCAGATAAAATTACAGCAGGATGTTGTTATCAGTGATGATAACTGCGACTCTTAAGGGTTAAATAGATACGATTCAGGATGGAGTGTAAATTCTGTAGGAGTGTAAACGTGCACTTATGCATTTAATTGATTAATAATATTAATATATTGACACTGATGTTGTGTTTGTGTGAGTAATGCTGGTGCTGCATATACAGTGTAACTGTATGTGTATCAGTACAGCTGTCTTACTGCAGTGATGGCAGATGGTTTAAAGTATGCAGTTTACAGCCTCCTGAATCACTGTGACACAAACTCCTTATTTAGCAAGATTCCAGGCAGACGGAGTACACATTAATATAAACATCCTCTATTACAGCCACACGCTGCTCCCACTGCAGCCGTAGTTCCTCCACGTAAATATTTGTCCTGTTGTGCCACAGCTCTGCAGTTTAAAACCAGCCATGGCATTTAATACTGAGTTAAGTCCAGGACGATGACCTGATGTCAGTATTTTAGCACTGCATATTCAGGCCCAGCCCCATCTCTTATCTGTACCCCTACCCCTTGTTTTCGAGTGTTGCCCCTGAGTTCCAGGGTAGTGGCTGAACTCTTCCCTCTGAAATGGGACCCTCAAATAAAAAGAGCATCACTTCATTAACAGCTACCAGCGCTGCTCTGTAGGCAACCCTGCCAGTCTGCAGTGACAGCAGAGGAGGGTAAAGTTCAGCTCCTCACTGCTGGGCTTTAGTTACATTTAGGGCATCATATGACTTCAAAGAGGGGGGCAATTATTTATTATCACCCACCCCTAATTCTTCAGTGATATGAAGCTGAAGTCAGATATTCACCAGATTCTTGTTTGAGATTTTCCTGTTCCACCTTAAATGATGCAGCAGTTCTGATGCCTGAGGTGCCAGAATGTAATTGCTGGAGCATTTAAGGTGGAACAGGAAATTTAGCTACTGAGACATCAGCACAATAATAGTGATGTTTTATGCTTGTAATGAAGAAAACATACAATAAAATCACATTAAACTGAGAAAATACGATAGTTATTGTAATTTTAACAGAGAAAATTCTCACATTTGTGGGTTTCTTTGGTCTCTTGTCCATCTTGGCCGGTCCATCTCTTGTTTTCTCATAACTCTCTGTTTGGAGTCTCTGAAAAACCTCCATTTGGAGGGTCATGTAGCCCCAACACTTCACCCCACCCCTCTATCTCAACAAGAATCGGGACACCCTACCCCTAGACGAGAACGCGCAAAACAGAGGGGTAGGGCTGAGTTGTAGGGGCGAGGGGCGAAATGGGACTGGGCCATAGAATCAGAACATGCAGTGGACCAAATCGCTGTATGCAGTTAACGCAGGGGGTTCTGAGTATGTTCTGTAATTTAACCTATTAGCAAATCAAATTCCACACATTAGATTCCTCTGGGAAAACAAATCCAACTCCAGTAGAACTTTAAACTGACTAGAACAAGACTGAAGAGAGGCCACTTAAAGGTTCAGTGTGTGAGATTTTGGGGAATCTATTATTGGAAATGGAAAACAAAACCATGTCCTCATTAGTATATAATCACCTGTAACTGCGATTCGTGTTCTCGTTATCTTAGAATGAGCCCTTCATATCTACATAGGGAGCAGCTCCTCTTCAACAAAGGCTGCCGCCACCGTGTTCCTACAGTAGCCCAGAACAGACAAACCACACTCTGCCTCTAGAGGGCGTCTTTCACACTTTTACGCTGAAGCGGCAGCTTGAATTAGGTGGCGCTGTAGCTCCAGTCAGAAGACGTAGAGAGAAGAAGAATCAGTGGTTGCTGCCGGTGCTGCTGACTGTTTTGTGTTGTGAGAAGTTTGAGAACCAAAATTCTGACAAATGGAGGATCAGACAGAGGGTGAATCCTCACCGTCAAAGAAGAGAAAACATGAAGTAGCAAAACGAAATCAGGACAGACGACAGCAGAAAACCTGACAGCCACTGTCGGTTCTACTACACGCTTGGAAAGGGAGGGATGAGGGAGGGAGATTCAGCTGGATGCAATCTGCTACCTCACCACTAGAGGCCAGTAAATCTTACACACTGCACCTTTAAAGCTTCTCCACGTACTGTGTGTGTTTTTATGTGTGACAAAATGATACGATGAGACCATCATTGATCAATGACTGATAAGGGGGTGGTGTTCCAGTACGGTATGTGATATGCAGGATGTGATTAACCCCAGACACAGCCCACTGGCTGCCATCACGCTAAATTAACTCTTTATGCTGTTAACCAGCACAGCACTTAAAAACACAGCACAGCACAGTTAACCAAATATTAGCACAGGTAACATTGTGGTGCAGTTAAAAGATTAGCACGTTTTGCCACATTAGAGCACAGATAAGCACAGATACAGCACAGTTAACCACAGGCACAGCACAGTTAACCACAGGTACAGCACAGTTAACCACAGGTACAGCACAGTTAAACTCAGTCCAGCGCAGTTAACCACAGACACAGCGCAGTTAACCACAGATACAGCACAGTTAACCACAGGTACAGCACAGTTAAACTCAGTCCAGCGCAGTTAACCACAGACAGAGCACAGTTAACCACAGACAGAGCACAGTACACCACAGTGCAGCACAGTTAACCACACGTACAGCATAATTAACCACAGGTACAGCACAGTTAACCACAGATACAGCACAGTTAACCACAGATACAGCACAGTTAACCACAGGTGCAGCACAGTTAACCACAGGTACAGCACAGTTAACCACAGGTACAGCACAGTTAACCACAGGTACAGCACAGTTAACCAAATTACGGTGCAGCACAATAACAACACAGCACAGCACTATAGTAACGTTACAGCACAGTACACACTTAAAAAAGATAATTATTCATGGGTTCTTTAGTAAAGGCAATGATTCTGTGTAGAACCATAATTTATATAAGGAACAATTTCAAGCTTAAATAGTTATTTAGAATAATTTATTTACAAAAAAACCCTTGAAGAACCATCCTTTTAAAGTGTGTACAGCACCACCGTCACACTCGAACCGCACAGTTAAACATGAGTATAACGCAGTTAACCACAGGTGCACTCTTAAAAAAGGTGGTTTTCTTTAGTAAAGACAGTGGTTCTGTATATAACTCTGAACACTCAAAGAACCATTTTCATGCTTAAAGGGTTCTCTGTACGGTGAAATGGTTCTTCAGAATGAAGGAGATGTGTTGTTGTATATGGTTCTATATAGAACCTTTCTTAAAAGGGTTTGTATTGCACCAAAAAGAGTTCTTCTACTGTTATAAGCTTGGCATTGTAATAATAGCAGAACCCTTTTTGGTTCTATATAGATCCATATATATCACTTTGTCCACCAATCTAAAGAATTATTTGATGATGAAAGGAGCCCTTTAAGCATGCACATGGTTCTTTGAGTGTTCATGGTTCTGTGTAGAACCACTGTCTTTGAAGAACCATCTTTTTTTAAGTGTGTACAGTACAGTTAATCACAGATACCGCAGTTACTGCACAGTTAACCACAATATATCGAAGTTCACCGCAGTATAGCAGAGTTAGCACAATACAGCACAGTTAGCTCAATACAGCACAGTTAGCCACAACACAGTTAGCCACAGCACAGTTAGCCACATTACTGCACAGTTAGCTCAATACAGCACAGTTAGCCACAGCACAGTTAGCTCAATACAGCACAGTTAGCCACAGTGTAGCACAGTTAGCCACATTACTGCACAGTTAGCTCAATACAGCACAGTTAGCCACAGCACAGTTAGCCACAGCACAGTTAGCCACATTACTGCACAGTTAGCTCAATACAGCACAGTTAGCCACAATACAGCACAGTTAGCTCAATACAGCACAGTTAGCCACAATACAGCACAGTTAGCCACAGCACAGTTAGCCACATTACTGCAAAGTTAGCCACAATACAGCACAGTTAGATCAGTACAGCACAGTTAGCCACATTACTGCACAGTTAGCTCAATACAGCACAGTTAGCCACATTACTGCACAGTTAGCCACATTACTGCACAGTTAGCTCAATACAGCACAGTTAGCCACATTACTGCACAGTTAGCCACAGCACAGTTAACCAATAAAGGTAACAGTCCAACCAGGGTTAAATAAAACATGCAAACACACAGTTAGAACTACGCAACAACACGAACAACCAGGTCTAACACAGCACACAGTAACAGCTGAGCACACGTTAACACACAGGGCAGCTCACACTGCTTCCAAAGAAGCTCTGTAAGAAAAGTCCTTAACTCACAGACTCAGCCGAGCACAGTGTGTCCACACCAACGACCTGCTAACGTTTGTGCACTTTGTCTTCTCTTTGTCTCCAAAATGCATGGACCACCATCACCACCACCACCACCTGTCCACCCCCACCCCTTCCCCCCACACCCTCCCCCACCCATTAACGCATGCCCACCAAACCCACGCGTGTGCCATGTGCGTGTGCTGCATGACCTCGACCTTTGACCCCTGACCCCAGGACCACTCAGGCACTCTGGGCGCTGAGGAGTTCAAAGCGTGCCTCATCAGTCTGGGCTTCGATATCGCCAACGACGCTCAGGTACACACTCACACACACACACCCAGGAGCCGTGGCATTAACCACCCTCTCTCTCTATGTCTCTCTCTCTCTCTCTCTCTCTCTCTCTCCTGCACTCTTCCCTCGCTCTGTTATTCTTATTCTTATTCTCTCTCCCTCTGTAAACGCCTTCCGACTGTTTCAACCTCTTGATGCTTCTTACCCTTCCTCTTCCTCCTCTTCCTCTTCCCTCCGTCTCTGTTTGTCCCTCGCGGGCTCCTGTAGAAGAGAACAGGCATGATGGATGGCGAAGATTTCCGCACCTGCCTGATCTCCATGGGTTATAATATGGTAAAGCAGAGAGTCATAATCTGGTAATGAATAAATAATAACACAACAGCAACTATTAAACACTGTGACCTGTAAAAGCTTCTGTAAGGGTTCTAAAGTGGGGGGGTCTGTTTTGTTTGTGTAGTTAAAGCGATAGTTTAGCTCCTCACCGTGTTCGGCGAGACATGTCTGGTGTCTGATGTTTGCACTTGGAGCTAATCAGTAGTGAACTGCGACTGTCAGAGCCAGTTCGGCACATAAATGTCAAAACTCCGCTGGTGCACATGAACACCTTTTTGACTGTTACAGAGTAAACACTGACATTTGAGGCTTGTAAAAGACATTAACTTAGATAGCTAAGGGTGTGATAAATCTTATCTTATCTTTTCTGAGCGTATGGTGGACATAGTCAGTACTTAAAGAACACTCTTACTACATGTTTCATTGCAAACTGGATTTAGTGCAGTGCAGTTTGTAAAGTTGAATAAAATTGAACAAAAATCACTGTAGTTGCAGGTTTATTATAGTATATTTTTTATATGTGGCACTACAGGTTCTATTTTGTCTGTTTATTTTTTAATCTCAGAAAAACAAAATATCATGCTGCATATTGCATATCATGAAAATTCAAGTATCTTGAAGTATCGTAATATAATATTTTGGCCATATCGCCCACCCTTATTTGAGCTCTTTCAGTAGAGTCCTGGCACAGAGCTGCCGCTGCTGTTTTCCATTCCTAACAACTGGGTTATCCGCTTAGACTATGACTCATATTCAGAATGACGAGATGTAGAACTAAAGTGATGTTTTTGTCACAAAATTGGTCCCGTTGTAAATCAAAGCGCGATTGGTTGATTCCTCTGTCACTTCCTAATTAGGTTGGTAGCTAATCTAACGTGTAAGGTCTTCAGTCCAGCTCCTAAAGTCCTGACCAATGGGAGAGCTCGCTCGGCTGTATCTATGTAGATAAAGTGGAGAAAAATAATTCTGATTGGACAAATATTTGTTAACCATTTCAAGATTTAAACCCTTTCGATTCCAAATGCAGCTTAATGATGAAATAAGAGTATTACTATGATGCTTAGAGAGTTTAAACACAACAAGCATGATAATTATAAAAATAAAATAAGAATTAATCAAAATTACCGGTGTATTTTTTAATTCCTAGAAACCATTAGGCCCTCTCTGAAGACCTCAAAGGCCCTGAGGGTTCCTCTCTAAGGCCAGTGTAGCTAACAGTTAGCATGGTGCTAACTGCATGCCTAAATCATCACACACTCTCCTCAGACTGTGAGGTGTTCAGTGTCTCTACCAGACCTGATTCTGTGGTTTCTGACTCTGTGTGACTCTCTATTCTCTATAAACCTGGACTGAAGTACGTTACCGCAAAGCTAAACACTGTAGCATCGTCTAGAAACTTGAATTTTGTCCATGTTTATAGATAACAGTGTCACACAGTGTCAAAAAACAAAATCAAGTCAAGTCTGTCATTCAGAGACCTGATAATCAGTAATTAATTATTAGAGATTACAGTACTGAGAGAGTTGCTAACTGATGTAATATTAGCTTCCATTACTTGTGATCTACATTAGCCTCGTAGCTTCAGCGCTAAAACGAAAGAAGCACACTTCAGACACCGAACACGCCTCAGCGGATCCACTACGTTTGAGTAAACTGTATTATTTGCTGAACTATCCCTTCACCTTGTATAACAGGTTCAGGAAAGCTTGTCATTGTAACTGTAGGGACTCTGTTGTTGTTTTCTGGTTGCCATGGCGACTGTGCCCGTGGTGATGTCTAAGACACACCGGTCTGTTCCGCAGGGCGAAGCGGAGTTCGCTCGGATTATGAGCATCGTGGATCCTAACAGGCTCGGGGTCGTGACCTTTCAGGCCTTCATCGACTTCATGTCACGCGAAACAGCGGATACGGACACGGCTGACCAGGTCATGGCCTCCTTCAAAGTGCTCGCCGGAGACAAGGTACCCAGAACACAACAGAGCAGTGTGAAGAACACAGAACACAACAGAACACACAACACACAACACAGAACACAACAGAACACAGAACACACAACACAGAACACACAACACAACAGAACACACAACACAACAGAACACACAACACAGAACACAACAGAACACAGAACACACAACACAGAACACACAACACAACAGAACACAGAACACACAACATAGAACACACAACACAACAGAACACACAACACAACAGAACACACAACAGAACACACAACACAGAACACACAACAGAACACACAACACAACACACAACACAGAACAGTACACAGAACAGAACACACAACACAGAACACAGAACAGAACACAGAACACACAACACAACAGAACACACAACACAGAACACACAACACAGAACACAGAACGGAACACAGAACAGAACACACAACACAGAACACAGAACAGAACACAGAACACACAACACAACAGAACACACAACACAGAACACACAACACAGAACACAGAACGGAACACAGAACAGAACACACAACACAGAACACAAAACAGAACACACAACACAACACAGAACAGAACACAGAACACACAACACAACAGAACACACAACACAGAACACACAACACAGAACACACAACAGAACACAGAACGGAACACAGAACAGAACACACAACACAGAACAGAACACAGAACAGAACACACAACACAGAACAGAACACAGAACAGAACACACAACACAGAACACAGAACGGAACACAGAACAGAACACACAACACAGAACAGAACACAGAACAGAACACACAACACAGAACACAAAACAGAACACACAACACAACAGAACACAGAACAGAACACACAACACAGAACACAGAACCACACAAATTTGTCTTTAGCTTCTGCTTCTATGAATGTATAAAATAGACCATATAAACCATAAACAATAATAATTAACACTACGGATAAACAGTAAAAACAAAAAGCCTAATATCTTATAAACACGTAATTACACATATAATAACCCTAACAAACTGTCAGTCAACAGTCGAGCAGCTCCGTGAGGTGGAGCACCCTGATGTGAAGCCGTCATAAATCACGTGTCGCCGCTGTTGAGTCGTGTACGGAGTAGTGTTCGGTATCGTCATGGTAACTGAAGTTCACCTTGTGCTCTTTTTTCTTTGTTTCTGAGCAGAATTACATCCTGGCGGAGGAGCTGAGGCGCGAGCTCCCTCCGGATCAGGCCGAGTACTGCATCAGCCGCATGGCGCCGTACACCGGCCCCGACGCCGTCCCCGGAGCGCTCGACTACATGTCCTTCTCCACCGCTCTGTACGGAGAGAGCGACCTCTGAACCCTGACCTCTGACCCTAGGGGTCAGCCTGCCTTCGCCTGATCTCTCACACTCACACACACACACACTCACACACAGCCTCTGCTCTGCGGCCGCTGAACTGGAGTGACCGGTCAGCGCTGACCCAAGACCAGTATATATACTATACCAGTGTATACTGGTAACCATGGCAACAGTGAGGGCAGAAATATGTTATAGCTACATAAGTTAAATGATACAGACAGAACAACACTGTTCACTCTCAGGGCCAGACGTGCCCTCGCGGCCCTCGTTATCGTCTCACTCGCTCTGTTTTATTAGCTGGAATGAAGAGACACTTCTGTAGAATGTTTTGGTGGGAACTTCGTTTCATTTCCTGTTCTGTCTCTTGTTGACGGCTGCGCAGTTGTGCTGCACCTCTTAAACCCTGTGAGCAGTCAGTTTGGGCTGTTTGTGCAACAAAGCCGCAGAATAAGTAAATCCAAAGTTCAATTCAGTGAAAGTAATGCCTACACATACTGGCCTTTTTATCGGAAACACCTACCACATAGGGGCACGTGACTAAACCTTCAACGTGCCCCATATGGTAGGAGTTCCCAATATAAAGGCCAGCCGTCCATCTGTCCAGTATATTAGAAATAGCTGCCTACACTGACTGGCCTTTTTATTGGAAACACCTACCATATATGGACACGTTGTAGGTTTACATTCATAGACAGTTTCTGACCACGGAGCCACTTTTGGCTGGATATTTTTGGGTGGTGGGCCACTCTGGACCTTGCAGTGACACCGACGATTGTCACTTAAATATGGCATTTTTTGGCAAATTTTTGTGCACGATTTCTATTTATTTGTTTAGCGTAACATATTGGGAAACAATAAAATATAAAATATAACCGTTGCAAAGGCCACAGGGGTTTCCAATAAAGTGGCCACTCAGTGTGCAGTATCACTCATGTACGTATACTGTGTTTCTCGGTTTCACTGTTGCCATGGTTACAGCCCTTTCTGTTTTTTAAAGGGCAGCCTGGTCAGTCTGACCTTTGACCTCAGATCAGCCGGCCGGAGCAGCTTCTACCAGCATGGCTCAATGATGCTCAATTTTTTTGTACGCTCCTTTTTACCCCTCTCCCCCCTGAACCCCCCCCCTTACCATGTGTGTGTGCGTCATATACCGACTTCTTGCTCTGTCCGTTTTATCGCTTCTGCAGCACCGAAAAGCTTCCTCAGCTTTTTTACTCGGAGGAGAGAGAGAAAAAAATCCTTTCAGTTTTTACTTAATATGTTGTTTTTTTCTCTTCATAAAAAAAAAAATAAAGTTAACATATTTTATTATACAGAACAAAAAAGGTATTTTTCTTCACCTGGTTAAAAAACTGAAAAAAAGTAAGAAAAATTAAATAAAGGAAGAAAATGGCAAACTGTGTTTGTTTGTTCTTTCCCTTCGTGTTCGGTTTGTTTAATGTTCGTAACTCCTGATCCTGAGTCTGAAGAGGACGACACAAGAGTCATTCCACGAGATCGGAGCCAAATTGTGATGTTAATTTAACGTTTTTTCCTCCATAGCTTCAATTACATATTGCTCTTAAAGGAGAATTCCACCTGTCTTTCAAAATTCCCCCATAACTCGGTGTGTGAGATGTAATCAGAGAGATTCAGAGTGGTTTGGTGTGAAATGGTTCAGATGTCTTTACAGTGGTGGTGATAGGAACCAGGGGTCGCCATGACTACAACACAAATATAGACATTTTATTTACTATCCAGAACCACCAGTGAACCTACACGAGTCTTCTGAGTTTGTTTACTGTATTTTGTGGACGTTATGTTTGACACACTCTGTTAAAGATGCAGTAAACAATACTGTCAATGTTGAATGAACACAAAATTTACCAGCTTTGAAATTGAGCTGTTCTAAAGGCGTAAATTGTCTCTTCCTTTTTGTCATTTGATATACATCTATATTTATGTCTGTGTGCTATTATGAGCTATTCTGAAGGCATAAAATGTCACTTTCTCTTTATGTCACTTAATATCCATATATTATAATGATTAAATAAGATGGTGTGATGAAGACATATTTGGCAAATGTTTGATGTTAATTCAACATTTATTTAGTAATAATTCACATCAGGCTTCAGTGGTTCTCTATATGGACACATGAAAGTGCCCGCATTCATCCATCCATCATCTAAACCGCTTATCCTTCTGGGTCGTGGTGGGGTGCTGGAGCCTATCCCAGCTGTCATTGGGCGGAAGGCAGGATACACCCTGGACAGGTCGCCAGTCCATCGCAGGGCAGACAAACAGACATACACTTTCACACCTAGGGGCAATTTAACATGTCCAATCAGCCTGACTGCATGTTTTTGGACTGTGGGAGGAAACCCACACAGACACGGGGAGAACAGGCAAACTCCACACAGAAATGACCCTGGTCACCCGGCCAGGAATCGAACCCAGGCCATTCTTGCTGTGAGGCGACAACGCTACCCACTGCGCCACCGTGCCGCCCTGCCCGCATTCATAATTCAAAAAAATTTTCATATTTGCATATTTTTGTGCACATTTGGTCAGATGTTAAGGACTCAAATGACTCTTATAATGGAATGACTGAGAGATACTTTATAAAAGTGGTAAATAAGTAAAAGAGGACTTTAGAACTTACAGATTCATAATGAGCTGCTGCTGTTATCAAAACTGCACTGTTGAGTCGTTTTAAAGAACAGTTAGCGTCGTGTTCTAGAAGTGGAACACTTAGCAGCGACTGCAGACCTGCTAACTGAACATCAGTGGCGTAACTAAAATCTTAATCACCCGAATGAAGAAAAATAGGCTCCCCATAGAAAATTAACTTCTAGTAAATAAAAAATGACTGCAGTTTGTGTGTTTATTCACTGTCAAAGCTACACCCACTAGCATCTAATGCTAACCTAAATGTTTAGGTTAGACAATCTATATAATTCATTAAGATGAATAATAATTAATAATAATGAATGAATATAACTAATGATGAATATTTGGCATGTTGGGTTGTGGAGGATAGATGTGAACTTCACTGAAATGGCCTCAGGCTGTAAATACAGTTTAAGTCTGTTAGCGCTGAGCTAAGCTAAGCGGCGCTGTAAGCTGTGTTGGTGCTGCTGTTCGGTTCTCAGATAAATGTGTATTTGTGAATGATTAACTTTGCTGGTTTAAACGAGTCAAAGTGACCATTTAAACTACAAACAAAGTCACAGACTCATCTATTTTTGTGGTTATTACATAATAAATCATCTCATCGTTTTTTCAGCGTTAATGGAAATTGGCTTTTCAGTTCTGTCTTTTTTTTCAGCACAAAATGGATCAGATTATTCCTCCCAGAAAACAAACCTGAGGTCAGATAACTGGATAGCCAGGTAGCTACTTTGCTAACTATAGCTTTTAGCTTGTTGTCCTTCTCTTGTCTGTCATTCTGTCCATTCTCTTTCTCCACTGTGATCATTTTCAGACAGTACAGATAAACAGCTGCAGTAAGATATTATGCTTCATATCAGCTCAACGTCCATTCTTTACCTCCTCCCACCTTCAAGATACATCATCAGAGGGGCTTTTCAGGGTTTAAAGTGGAAAATCTCACTCCAGAGTTACTGCAGCACCACGTTAGTATTCGAATAAGCATGTTTACAAAATCTGTAGTGATGGGTGATTTTTTATTTTAATTAATAAGTGCCCCTTTAATAAACTTTACATTTTACATTTTGCTCTAACATGTATCACTTCACGTATCAGATAAACTTTGTATAAACTGCTTATAAACCATGTAAACACAAACTACACAGCATTATTCTCATAGGCTTTATCTACACTGCAGTTTTCTCATTTTGGCCTTCTAACAGGAAAGAGAGTCTCCTGGACACAAAGCAGCCCACTTAAAGGGGGTGTCCACCCAGATTTTAAAATGTATGTCAAAATAATTCACTGGTTGAGATGTAAACGGTCATTCAGAGTGGGGAAATGCTGCGCAGTAGAGAAGCTGATCTCTGAAATCAGGGGCCTCGTTCTTCAATATCTTCCTGAGTTTGTTCTTGAATGTGTTCTTGATAAAGGTGTTGAGAAAAAGTCTACATCAGATTCATGACGTGTTCTTAAAGCGCAGAACCGTTCTCACCTTTGTGTTCTTGAGTGTGTGTAGATTCTGTTCTTACCTAAGAACGAACCCAAATAAGAGAACACTGGAGAGTCACAATGCCTAAGAGGGTTTAAGAAGAAATTTCTTCTCATGGAGAAAGAGGCCCAGTGTCTTTAGGGAGGTACAGTTTAAAAGATTTCCAGTAGGTGGCGCCAACGATCTTCGCACAAGGAAAGAGAAACAATAGTTCCGCATGGTGTAGCCGCACGGAGCGGATAGCCGGCTGCACATGTTGACATTGACAGCGCTCATGTGTTCCAGCTGGTTAGATTATAATTCAATGTTATGACGCGAGATTTAAAGACTTTACGGAGTTTCTGAGGGTCAGAATGTGGCAGCAGCTCCGCAGAGTGCAGAGAAGCCGGACAGCGCGCTACGGGCTGCCGATGTTGGTGAGAAAACCTGGAAAAAAGAAAACACTTAAAAAAACTCGAATTTTCCGGGCCACCTTAAATGGGGCAGCAGTTACACTAAACTCGTAAACATGACTCAGATTTCCTGAATGTAACTGCTGCACCATTTAAGGTGGAACGGAACATTCGAATAAGAAGCCGATTTTAGCCTCGTTAAGAGCTTCAAAACTCACTTATTTAACCTTGCATCCGCATTAAAACGGGTTTTCCACCTTAACTTCAGATTTCTGTGCATCCATGTAGTCGGAATGCAGATTAGGATGATATTGGGTTGAAAATATTCCTGCTACTGTACTAAAATGTGTTATGAAGATGCTTAGCGAGAATCTAGATTTAATGAAACTAATATTCGCTCTGACTCTGATTAATCTGGAGCTGAATGTCTAAATGTTGAGGCACTGAACTGAAATATGTGGAGACTCGTTTCCACCGCTGGAGGAAAATATATAGCCCGTTAGTAAGTCATAATAATGAGAATTATGACTTAGTATCTCATAATTTTGACTTGCTGTCTCATAATAATCAGACCCTATTTCAAAATGATGACTTAATATGTCATAATTATTGCTATACATCTCATAATTATGACTTAATTTGTCATAATACTGGCTTGCTCTGTCATTTATTATCTACAATCTCATAACTATAACTTTTTCACAGTTATGATTGTCTTATATGTAGTTAATATCTCATGATGATGAGATATGATGATGACTTACTATGTCACTTAGTATCCCATAATTATGACTTTGTCAGTTATTTTCTCATTATCACTAGATAGTAACTATTACGAGATAGCAAGACATATTTATCATTATTATGTATTTATGAGAAACGTTCTTGTTATTGTGAGATGCTAAATGGATGTATATTTTTTCCAGTGGTGGAAAAAAGACTTTTATAGAAATGCTTAGTCCAGCTGATCAGTCTTAGTTACAGTGAGTTTATTAAGTGTTGAATTAGTTAAAACGATGTGCTCAGTTTAATAAGCCTTGGTGTGATGATTGGTGTGATGCTGTTTGATGTTTGTTGGTAGCTGCTGGTCGTGGGCGGCTCTTTCGGACTCAGAGAGTTCACGCAGATTCGATACGACGCTCAGAAAATCAAGAAAAAGGTAACTGCACGCTTTTCACTGAGACACTCTCAGCAGGTCATTAAGAGATGATATTTTGTGCATTTTCATTTAAATGTCTTCATGATCATCAAAGGATCTTCCCTGATGTGATGTAAACCAATAATAAATCAATAATGAACAATAATGTGAACGTTTTCTTTTCCAAACTGTTGTTAAAAGCTCATAGTGCATTATCTTTTGCCCCAAAGATGCTTTAAACACCTGGAAGGTTTGAGTGCTGACATCACAGCAAGGGGATAAAGTGGGCGAGGCCTTTGGCTTTATTCCCAGAGTAGCCCTGTCACTAGTTTTAGCACAGATGTTTACAGGTGTGGAATTGTTTTAGCTTGAAATAAAGCTGATTAGACTTTAATGTGGTCAGTTTTTACGAACCGAAAAGGACAACATGATCATGTTTATTAGAAACAGTCAGAAAAGCTGGGTGTCCCCAAACTTTTGACAGGCAGTGTGAAAGAAAAGGTCACTCAGTGAAACAATAGGAAACTGAAATAACTCAATACAGAACAATGCGTTAAAGTTAAAGCACTTTCTTAGCATTATTCCCAAGTCGGAGCTTCTTTCTTCAGTTTTATACAAAGAATAATGTAAAGTAGGGATGAGCGACAGGGCTTAAAAATGATATCATCATACTTAAAGATATTTTCATGTTAAATGTATCACGATATTTTAACAGACATGCTTATGTAGGAGAGCCACGTTTGAAAACAGCCATGAAAAACAGTGAACACAATGACTTTTATTCAACGTTTCACATAACGCACTGTATTAAAGCCGGATAAACAGGACTAATTATGCTCTCTTTGTAGTAGAGCATGCAGCCGGTCAGTTCTCTGAGTACTGACCGTATCCACCATTTGCACAGAAAAGCGTATTGTTTATAATGACAATAATAAAATGTCGTTATACTGACCACCTCTAATGGGGAGATTTAAACAGCCTTATAATTAGTATGTTAAAGTTCCTCTAATTAATAATTCCCCCCATAACTCAGTGTGTGAGATGTAAACAGAGAGATTCAGAGTGGTTTGGTGTGAAATGGTTCAGATGTCTTTACAGTGGTGGTGATAGGAACCAGGGGTCGCCATGACTACAACACAAATATAGACATTTTATTTACTATCCAGAACCACCAGTGAACCTACACGAGTCTTCTGAGCTTATATGGAATGTTGATGATGGAAAATAGTGGAAAATCTGAAATAATAAGTTTTCTTTGGGGACTATTTTGCCTCACAGCGCCCTGCATGTATCCCTCCACCATGAATGGAGTTTAAGTTCTCTAAACTATCATAAAACAGTGTCTCAGTCATCAGGCAGTGAATTCATAACCATTTCATGTAGGAACTTTCTGTGAGGGAGCTTTTAGAGGTGGACGTCTGGTTCCTATCACCACCACTGTGAACAGTTCTGACTCTAGAACAGAGCGTTTCACACCAAACCACTGGGAACCTCTCTGAACCACTCTGAACCACTCTGTTTACATGTTAATTATTGAATTATGCAGAGATTTTGAAAAATTGGTGGAATTCCCCTGTATATAAGTGTTACCAGAATTCTGACGTACGGTGTAAATATCCAGGGTCAGTGTAAATTAGCGACCTCTCACAATGGACTAATAAGCAGATTTTGTCCGCTTTCTGTTTGTGGGTGTGAAATGTGAGAGCTGTGAGAGCTTTTGGCGCCCTCTGGTGACTGATTTGAGTGCTGCGTTCTGACTCTATGACAGGCAGCAGAAAGTAGAACTGTGAATGTGCAGTATTTCCAGTGATAGAACACAAAACAGATGCAGACCGGTCATTTTGTTTTTAGCAAATGGAGTGGCCCAGCTTATTATTACACCTTTGTAACTAAGATTTAACAGTGATCTTTGGTCATTTTGAATGGTGATAACACAAGAATTCTCTTCCTGATCTCTCTCACAGCAGAAGCACAGCCTGACACACACACCTTTTTATATAACATCACTTTTATCTGGAAAAAACATGAAAGCACAGTCATTTTGAAGCACATGTCTCTGTGACGCTTCAGCCACGAAACAGTTTTTAATTAAAGATCTCTATCAGCGTTAATGACGCTCAGAAGATGCACGCTCAAAATCACGAGCACTTTGTTTTTTCTTCTGTTTTCTCATAACTATTACAGTGAGAGAAATATATACTATAATATGATAGAATACAGTCTATTTCACACTGTGTTCATTTTCAGTGAAACTTTTTTTGGACGCTTTTGTGAATATTTTAACTTAAATTACAACATTTAATATATTAATACAGGGCTGGGTACATTTTATTACTGAAACAAATTGTAAATTGTAAAAAATAAAACTTCCTTAATGGTTGTCTTAAAACTAAAATTCCATTATTTTGGTCAGTTGTTTTTATATGAAATTCCTCACTACCACAGCAAAGCTTTGATCTCATAAGAATTACTCATTCATATTTTTCAAGGCTGCGTGTGTTTTGTTATTGTTTATTTTTAAGACCATTTACAGTTTTGACCTTCTTTTCTCTCAAACTCTCCCGACTCCTGTTTCCTCTCTGCACCGTCCGCTTAACTGAATCAGTTCTCTCTGTTTTCCTCAGCGCTGATTAAACTGAACTCAGTGTAAATATTTTACTCAGGAAGAGGAAAAAAAGGAAGAGGACGGCCTCGAGGTCATCAAATATTCAGCCTCCGTCTCTTCTGGATATTATGTAATGAAACAGTTTGACTGCCACGGTCACTAAAGGTCCATCCGTACGGTCACTGCTGCATCTCAGAAAAATAAGAGCCTTTTTTAACTTTAAACCGTCATTAAAATCACACATGCAGCACTTAAACAGTGCAGCTGGGAGTCACTGCAGACCCACCGTACGACACTATCACCATACTTCAGCCACGATACGGTTCTGCTGCGGTGTGTAAAGGTTTGATGTGTTCAGTGCGACACTGCAGTAACTGCTGCACCATTTAAGGTGGAACGAGAAAATTCAATCGGGAAGCTGCGATTAAGAAGACGACTTCAGCCTCGTACTGTTTTTACGTGCTCAGAGAAGCCACTGTGGGCTTTACACACTTACCTTTATCACATTACGGTCAGAAAGCTATACTGACCGATTCTATATTGTTCATTTATATGAACAATATGACTGATTTATATATTGTTCATTTCTGTTTTTAATGTTTCACACAATAAAAATATTTTAGATTCACTTCAGTTGTTAAATATGGTTCTTATTAAAAGTAAAGGGGCGTCCAGAGTAATACGCCACTGTAATCTACAAAAAAGGTTCTCTTAAACATCCAAGATGGCTCTATTTCAAAGAAATGTACACCAATACACACAGAGATATATATATATATATATATATATATATATATATATATATATATATATATATATATATATATATCTGTACTGAAACCATCAGTCATCTTAATTACACTCTGATATAAATTGTTGCCCGTACTGCCCACTACTACCTTAAAATATTATTATTATTATTATTAGTAGTAGTAGTAGTAATAGTAGTTGTATGGATGTTTTTCAGTTCAGTGATGATGTCAGTGATGATGTCCGTGATGATGTCAGTGCCGTGTGTAACAGTGAAGCAGTCAGAAAGTTGGTGAGGCTGTGAGAGACTCAGCCGTGTTTGATCTGGTGTGATCTGTGATTGTGACCATGATCCGCCCACATCGTCATGTCCGTCACAGAGTGTGTGATAAAGCCGAGTTCAGCGTTTTTCAGTGTTTCTCTCAGAGCTCTGAAAACCAGCGACGGCTCAGTGATGAAGGTAATCAAACAGAACACAGCGATGCTGATTGGCTCATTTGGCCTGATGCAGCCACAGAGTGCAGGTTGAAGCTCCGCCCCCATTCAAATGAACAGGATGCTTAATCCAATCAGCTCACTCGCTCGGACTGTGGGATTTGCATCTCATGGGTGTCATGCATGTTTTCTGGCTGAGAGCTTTTAATGGTGACACGTGTTTTCTCTCTCTTTCTTTCTCTCTCTTTCGCTTTCCTTTCCTCTTTCTCTGTTTTTCTCTCTTTTTTCCTTCTTTCTTTTTCACTGTCTTTTTCCTCTCTCCTTTTATTCAAATTTCTTTTTTCTTTCTCTCTCTTTCTCCCTTTTTCTCTATGTTTTCTCTCTCTCCCTCTTTCCACTTTCTCATTTTCTCTCTTCTCTCTCTCTCTCTCTCTCTCTCTCCTTTCCTCTTTCTCTTTTTTGTTTTTTTTCTTTCTCTCTATTACTCTCCTCTCTCTTGTTTTCTCTGTTTTCTTTCTCTCCGTTTCTCCATTTCCTCCATGTTTTATCTCATTCTCTCTCTCTCCCCCTGCAGTTCTGTTGTATTTTGTTAGGTAAAACAAATGATATGTATGTTCGTTTGAGGTGCTTTACTTTTGATTAAATTCTAAAGACTCTGTGTGTGTGTGTGTGTGTGTGTGTGTGTCTGTGTGTGTGTGTGTGTGTGTGTGTGTGTGTGTGTGTGTGTCTGTCTGTGTCTGGTGTGTGTGTGTGTGTCTGTGTGTGTGTGTGTGTGTGTGTGTGTGTGCTGTGTGTGTGTGTGTGTGTGTCTGTCTGTGTGTGTGTTTGTGTGTGTCTGTGTGTGTGTCTGTCTGTGTGTGTGTGTGTGTTTGTGTGTGTCTGTGTGTGTGTCTGTCTGTGTGTGTGTGTGTGTGTGGTGTGTGTGTGTGTGTGTGTAGTTGGATCCAGCGCTGGAGGTCAGAGTGAACTCTCAAAAGCAGTCTGTGATTCTGGAAGAGGAGTATGAGGTAAGAGTAACTGTTACTATAAGAATCGTTTTATTTTATTATTATTAATTTTTGTTAATAATTATTAGTTTAATGAGGTATTAATTAGATAAACCCACAGTTAATGCAGGGCTTCCTTGAGGAGAGATTTGGAGATGGATAAACTAACTTGATCACACACAGAACACACACTGTTTCATTTAAAAAGCTCTATAATGTTCATATGATCCACACAGTCAATCTGACAGACTGTAATACACTACAGGAAGTGTAGGGGGCGATATGGCTTCTACTGTTTCATTTAAAAAGCTCTATAATGTTCATATGATCCACACAGACACTCTGACAGACTGTAATACACTACAGGAAGTGTAGGGGGCGATATGGCTTCTACTGTTTCATTTAAAAAGCTCTATAATGTTCACATGATCCACACAGTCACTCTGACAGACTGTAATACACTACAGGAAGTGTAGGGGGCGATATGCGTCTCTCTGCTTGTTATTAATTTGTCTCTTTAATGCGTGCTCCTGCAGAAGCTGAAGGAGTTGGATCTTGACGGATGGAGGAACATTCGGGGGCCGCGGCCGTGGGAGGACTCGAAGGAGTTTCAGAATCAGCAACGTGAGGAGATTAGTAAAGGGCAGTAAAGAGAATGACCACATGGACCGGTCACTCAGCCTGGACACAACTTGCGTGCGTGTGCGCGTGTGTGTGTGTGTGTGTGTGTGTGTGTACAGTCTGGACTGTGTATGTTTGTTTCTCCTGCAGATCAGCCAGAATAACAAGAGTTTTAATCCTGTAATAATTCTGCTCAGCGATAAACCGGAATTAACGTTTGGCTGAAAAACGATGACAAAGAATAAAAACAGTTTACATAAAATAATCTTAATAAACTGATTACAGTTTGTACTGAATGTTCCTCTGAAATCCAGCATCCACAACAGCAGCGATCAGCTGATCAACACACTGAGCTCCATTACTGTTAGTGATTCTCTGCTAGGGCTGGGCGATATGACAGTATATATCGTTATCGTGATATTAATTATGTCACAATACAATTAGCTTTTCTGAATCTGTTGTGTGTACAATGTAGACACTGAGCAACTGCACATTTCATTATAAAGAGAGCAAAATTAGCCCTGTTTGACTGGATTTAGTGACAAATATTGAATAAAAATCACTGTGTTCAGTTTTTGATATTTTTTTGAAATGTACATTCTTTTGATTTCTGTTCCAACTCATTAGATGTCTGAAAAAATGAGTATTGTGCATCGTTTAAATTCCCTGCAGTGCTGCGATATTAGCAGAAGTGGGTAGTAACTAGTTACATTTACTCAAGGACATGTACTTCTGTACCGTATTGTAATACCTTCACTTCTACTTTCTCTCCTGTCTTTCTACTCACTATATTTTCTCCATTCATATTAAGTTACAAAATCCTTTTTGTGTTTAATTTCGTTCTGTTGTGTTGTTGACAGCGTCTGTGCTGCTTTGTGATTGATCTCATCTGTGACTTTGGAGCTTTAGCATTTTATTTCAGACCAAAATAATCCAAAAAAGAGACAAATAGAGCCGAACAGACTTCGGTTTCTGTGCTGAGAGATGCTGGATTTACACTGCAGTTATGTAAGTTACTCAGTACTTGAGTGATTTTTTTGATCTGTACCTGTAAAAAATGTCTCGTCAGATCTACGTAAAAAAATCAATGTGGTCACAAGTAAATTACCTAGTTTTATTCAACCTAAATCAATACTCTGAATGAACGATTCTTTCAATCAAAGTCATTTTTGAGCTGAATTAAACCAGTTTATTTAGTTAGTTACTACATGAAGAGTTAGTTTAGGTAGATCTGATGAGCCGTTTTTACAGTCAACTTCTACTCAAGTTGTTTTATTTGAAGGTAGTTTTACTCATTATTTTACTGAAGTATCAACACTTTCACTTGAGTATTGATGAAAGGTCTTCTGCTCCCTCTGGATGTCGGACTTTTGTCCAGCTCTGCTCTGTGTTTTGTAAATGTTTTCATCATTTGGTAAACAGAGTGTTCAGATGGTGTTGGCGCTGCAGGACTTTCCTGGACGTCTTGATGCTCCACATGAGCAGAGATGATGCATCTGTCTGATGTTCCTCGTAGAAACTGTTGAGGTCGTTTCACACAGCTGATGTTCTCACTGTTGATTTGCTGATCTGTTTTTATTTTCAATACGACGTTCTTCATTTTTGCGTCCACTGTGTGGTGTTTGCCTCTGTTGTGTAAGAAGATTCAGTAGAAAACGATACTAGACATAAGACAATTCTAGCAATTATAAAATAGTAAAATATTTAAAAATTAAATAAATAACACCAGTAAAATATTTCAACTCTAACAAAAAAAATGATATTTTTCTACTCAAAGAATCGAAGAGGGCTTATCTCCCCCCTTTCCTCAGCCAGCCAACATGGGTGTCTGTTAGCTGACGTAGCAGAGTTAGCGGTTAGCGTTCTCCTCCAAGCGTGTTGAGCTCCAGCAACGTTGCGTTAGCAGCAGTTTGAAAAGAAGCAGCAGAGCTTCATGCGTCTCAGAGGAAGCTGACACCAGCCTTCATCCTCTAGTAGCATCGCGGGTCAGAGGGACAGCTAGAAAACAGGACCTGGACGTGAATTTAGCCCCCCCGGCTAAAAACAAGCGCATGCTATATAAAATATTATAGTCATGTATAATAATACGGTGGGAGTAAGAAAGGGGCAGAGTTCATTCTGTGTGCTTGTTCATCCTCAGATTAGTTCTGCTGATTACATCTTTAAAGCGCAGATTTTGCTGATCTGGCGCTCCGTCACGCCACACACACTCCTCTCAGAGCAGGTCTTACGTTTCAGTTTGTTCTCATCGTTTTATTTCCAGCCTGTTGCCGAAAGGGGATTTACTTTATTAGAGCATGTTTGCTGAGTTTGTTTGTGGTCAGAGTTAATCAGGCTGTATGAATGACCTGTGGTCACCTAATCCAAACTACACATAAAATCCACTGTGACAGAAACACTGTTTATTTCAGTCTGAGATTAAAAAGTGACCATCTGACTGACCGCCCTGACCACACCAGATTTATATATCTGTGTGTGTGTGTGTGTGTGTGTGTGTGTGTGTGTTGAGGAGGTTTGTGCAGTATATTAGTTTGCACAAACCTGGCCAGTCCTGTGTGTGTGTGTGTGTGTGTGTGTGTGTGTGTGTGTGTGTGCATCTCTGACACGTGCGCTTTAATTTTTCATTGCAAATCACACAAAAAAATGAAAAAAAGGCCATAAAATATTCATGTTGCTGCACTAAGAAAAGACAAAATCAAATTCAATATTTACTGCACGCTTCCCTAACTGAAGAATTAAAACGCCGGCAGGGCTGTGTGTGTGTGTGAGTGTGTGTGTGTGTGTGTGAGTGTGTGTGTGTGTGTGTGTGTGTGTGTGTGTGTATGTGTGCACGCTTATACATGTGTGTGATCTTCCGGTCAAATCAGCAGCAGTTAGTGATGCGCTTACACACACACACACACACACACACACACACAAGGAGATTTGTTTTCATATAATATCAGGACAAAATCTCATAAGTACTATATGTATTATATACATACATATATGTAAGTACCTATAAGTAATAATAATATGCACTGTATATATATTTATATATACACCTGCTGTCGTTCGAAAACCTTGTATCTCTATTTTTTGTTTTTTGTTGTTCTTTTGACAATTTGAAAACGCCTGTTGTTCTTTACATTGTGTGTAAATTTCATGTTGAATGGACCAAAAGAAACGACCCAAAATTACTTGGAAAAAACTCTGGTTCCATTGACTTACATTAAAAATAAAGTATTCTTTTCTTCTCCTGTAAAGTTACCATTTTGGAGATACAAGGTTTTCTTCCGACAGCAGCGATATATATATATATATATGTGTGTGTGTGTGTGTGTGTGTGTGTGTGTGTGTGTATTTGTAATAATAATATGTCCCACATGTGTTATGTATATGTAAGCGTCTATATGTAATCCTAATTGATTCAGGAGCCAAAAATGGTGTTTTTGTTCAGTTTTAAAAATGAGAGTTTTTGTAAAAGCGCCTTATGAAGTCAGGAGTGTTCTGTTGGTGCTGTAGGTCAGAACCGTTCTTCTCTTTGTTGACTACAAAAGCGAGACGCTTTTGTCCTGGAAGTGTATAAAACGAACACAGACGCGCTCAGACGCTCACAGTGACCTGTCGGATCTGTCTGAGCTGCAGCGCTTCTTAGTTGTAATTTTGTGTTTCTATAAATACGCTGCAGCTGGCAGAGAGTCCAGGCAGAAGATCTACAGCCTCCAGCATCACACGCACACAATCGGCCTTCATCACGTCCACACGGAGCTCTGCTTAACGAGGCAGGAGCAGCGCCAACATCGCAAACAGCACTGAGGACCCCAACTGCAGCACAGCCGGGCGGAGATGGGTTCTGTTTATCACCTGGACAGGTAATATCAGCCACGTGGACAGAGCTGAACCAGCAGGGAGTGGGGTGATTCACACATTGTAATAATAAAAGGGGAAATCCAGCAGTTTTTCAAAATATCTGCAAATTAATTTACTAAGATGTAAACAGAGACTCAGAAGACTCGTGTAGGTTCACTGGTGGTTCTGGATAGTAAATAAAATGTCTATATCTGTGTTGTAGTCATGGCGACCCCTGGTTCCTATCAGCACCACTGTAAAGACATCTGAACCATTTCACACCAAACCACTCTGAATCACTCTGATTCTCAAACAACTATGGGGGAGTTTTGAAAACTTGGACTCGCCCTTAACTGAATCACGATTCAGACTCGGACTCACCCTGAATCGTAACTCGGCTCAAACTCACTCTTATCTGAATCACAACTCTGATTCGCCACTGAACCATGACTTGAATCAGACTTTTCTTTAACTGAGTTGTGACTGGGACTCGGCCTAAATGGAATCACAATTTGACTCAGACTTTCCCTTAACTGCATCATGACTCAGACTCGGCCTTAACTGAATCACTATTCAGACTCGGACTCGCCCTTAACTGAATCACGATTCAAACTCGGACTCGCCCTTAACTGAATCGTTACTCGACTCAAACTCACTCTTACCTGAATCGCAACTCGGACTCACCCTTAACTGAACCATAACTTGACTGAGAGTTTTCTTTAACTGAACTGTGACGCGGACTCGCCCTTAACTGAATCACTATTCAGACTCGGCCTTAACTGAATCACTATTCAGACTCGGCCTTAACTGAATCACTATTCAGACTCGCCCTTAACTGAATCACTATTCAGACTCGGCCTTAACTGAATCACTATTCAGACTCGGACTCACCCTTAACTGAATCACGAGTCAAACTCGGACTCGCCCTTAACTGAATCACGATTTGTCTCAGATTTTCCTTTAGCTGTGTCACGACTCGACTCAGACTCACCGTTAACTGAATTACAACTAAGGCTACAGTGCTTTAAGTGCACTGGCTCTGACATTCAGCTTCATGGATGGATTATTTTTGTTCCACAGCTGCTTAGTGCCCAGCAAACCGTCCACTGTGTGAATAAAAATTTAGCTTCTTTTCACGACTTTCAGTAAAAGCCGTTTTGTGATCGGTGGTGAAGCGCTGGTGTGATGTTGTGGATCAGTGTGCTCTGGTCGGACAGCAGGAGCAGATATACGGCGGAGTAAATGAAAGCAGTGACAGTTTCAGGGTCCGTCGCAGGGTCCGGCCTGTGTTTGTGGTTTGGAGTGTAAACAGAATGTCCTCACTACAAACGAGGGCGCCATTTATTGTTGCCACCAATGACACGCGGGATGATGGACTATAAACTCTGGCTGTAGCCTCGGCCTGTTCGGCACACGCTCAGACTGATCATGAACAAAGATGGCAGTAAACTGGTGGCACTGAGACGTTCTGTAAGGTCACAACTCAGCAGAGCCGTGTTCACTGTCCACCAGGAGGAGCTGCTGAGTCCTTCTGTCACTGCAGCACTCAGTGCTACCAAACACTGAATAACTACATAGGAAATAGATACAGAGTCGCCCTTAACTGATTCTCTAGATTCAGCCTTAACTGACTCACAACTCGACTCGTATTCTTCCTTATCTGACTCATGACTTGGCTCAAATTCTCCCTTAACTGACTCAAACTCTCCCTTACCTGAATCACGACTCGACTCGAACTCATCTTTAACCAAC